CTTCCGTCACTGGCTACCCTCGGCCTCTCCTCCCTCCGTCTAATCCTGTGCAAAAGACGTCAGAAACTTGCCTTTGCCCGTCAACTGTCAAGATGACAGAAGTCGTCTGCCGCTCCTTCACCGTAGCACAACGCCGCCGGACCAACAAACGCAAATCGGCTGCCTACAACACACACACACACACACACACACACACACACACACACACACACACACACACACACACACACACACGCACACACGCACACATACACACACAGACACACACACACACACACACACACACACGCATATATCATTATAATCATTATTATCATTATTACTGAAACACTTGATATCCACTTATATGATCGTAATTCTTATTAATATAATGTGTTACACATGATAATGACAAAAACAATTATAACAATGACAACTGGCATTGATGATATTGGTGACAAAGAGGGTAATCATGATAATAATATTGATAACGACAGTAATGATGATGCTAGCAATTGTGATGATAGCGAGTGTAACAATAATAACAACAGTAACAATGCTGGTAAAAATGTTAATGGTAATGCTTATATTGCGAATATTGATAATGATGTGAGCATTAATAATAATGGTAATAACAATAATGAACATAGCGACAATAGCAATGATGGTAATGATAATAATGTTGATGTTAATATTAGTATTAATGATGATAGTAATGATTTGATGAAAATAATACTAGTAAAATTAATACTATTACTAATGATGATGATCATCATTATCATTAAGATGATGATAAAGATAATGATGATAATGATAATGATAATAATATAAACAATAACGATGATATTATGACATCATTAATAACAACAATGATAATAATGGTAATAATGATAGTAATAATAATAATAGTAGTAGTTGCAATAACATTAGAAATAACAATAACAATTTTATTGATAATTATAATAAATGATAATCATGAAAACAATAGTAACAATAAGGATACTGATACTAATACTATGATAATACTAATTATGATAATAATGGTATTAATAATAATAATGATAACAATTATAGTAATAATGATAATAATAATAATTAATGGTGATAATAATGATAATAATAATACTGACAATGATGACAATAACAATAAGAAAAAAGATCATAATAGGAATAACATTAATGACTATATCATTGATTATTGTACTGATGATAGCATAGTGTTCATGAGAACAATAACAACAATAAACAAATCTTAAAAAGCTGCTAGAATTTAATGCGAAGGCAATTTGATATATGTAAAAGAAATGCAACAAACAAGGGCATTGCATAATTAGAAAAAAGATTAACAGACTGCAGAGCGATTATCATATAATCTGCTTCATCATTTGCATATCAAAATTCGGAGATTAAAGCGGTACTTTTTATTTGCTTGAAAATCGTATCTGAAATTGGTTTGTGAGATGATGTATGTAATTAGGTCAGAAGCGCCTGGGCATCAGAGTGTAATTATCAAATGCTTTATATAATCAAACACAATCATTCACATACACTAATTCACTCTCTGTTTTAATTTTTTTTCCTTCTCTCTCTCTCTCTCTCTCATAAATTCAAACACACAACCTATACATACAAAATCTCTATTCTAGCTAACATGTTAAAGCTTGTCCTGCCGTGTTTGTGTTCGCACCAAACTTCTCTCTTTTGTATTATGACAACAGGGAGTTCCAGCTGTGACAGTCAAATATTTCTATTTTTTCTTTGGTGTATTTAAATATATATATATACATATATATTATATGTATATATATATATATTATATATATAATATATATATATATATATATATATATATATATATGTGGTGTGTGTGTGTGTGTGTGTGATTGTGTGTGTGTGTGTGTGTGTGTGTGTGTGTGTGTGTGTGTGTGTGTGTGTGTGTGTGGTGTGTGTGTGTGTCTGTGTGTGTGTGTGTGAGTGTGTGTGTGGTGTGTGTGTGTGTGTGCGTGTGTGTGTGTGTGTGTATTTCGGACAGTCATAGATGATCCCGCCAATGTGGTACACAGGATAGGAATTCATAACCTTTGGGGAAGACAGGGATACGGTTACATGTAAATCAGTACAAGAAATGAAAAAGATAAGGAGATGAAAGAACGGACATGACACCGGGTCCGCCAATGAAGTACGGTATGCAAACTCACTGAAGGATCGAGGTCGGCCAGAAGTTCGCTTCGAGCAAACTTCTTTCGTTCTTTTTGGGTTTAAAAATTATTTTTTTTAAAGAATGAGAATGGTGGGAGGTTATGAGTTTTTATGATTATTGCTTATGTAGCTAAAGATAATTACGTTAGTATCATTAACTTATGATTTGTGCGCTGGGCTCTCCCACTCTAGGTAAACTAATCTTGTATGCAAATATCTAGTATGATGGCGCCTACTGCAGCAAACACCAGTGGCCCTTAATCTATTCCCCCAACATTTGACATGAGGGAAATCCAGATAGCAGCATTCCTACTTGCTGATGAGTATCTAAATGATTAACATCATTAGCTTGCTGATAGAACCTGCTCGCAGCCTATACTTCATTTCATCAAGAGCCTACTTACACACGCACACACACACAGTCACGAAATGCCTTTCATCTATACACGTGTTCAGTCGCAGTCAAAAATTTTGTCGAGTATGTTTCGAAATCCGTTTCGAACTCGGCATAATACCACACTTTTTGTATGGGGTAAGACCGATTCGAAGCTTCAATTCATTAGAGATTTTTTGTCCGTCACTACACCTAGTTAGACAGAAACTGCCGAGTGCTTTGTGAAGCAATTATTGCTGATAAACCGTGCTAATCCTCTTTCACACTGCCAATTCGACGCAGGAACAAATACCTCAAACGCTGATATCTTTCTCTCAAACATTTTGGCTAAAAGCAGCGAAACGGCAGTGCGTGGAGTTCTGTGCAGCTGTTTGATCATATCACGAAAGCAGGTCGGATTGTGCTATTGCGAATAAATTAACGAGAACCTCATCCATATTTGATCTGGTTTGCATTGTATTAGCCTGGTTAGCAGCGCAATGTCCCTTTCTCATTTCATTTCATGTAAAAAATATGAAGCGATGATCTAACCACAGACAAATAAATATTTGTTTTCACGAACTGGATTAACATGTTTTGTTAATGGGGGAGGGATATAGTTATCTAGGTCGCATTCCCTCTTCAAAAGTATCACCAGAATTCATATTTTCATTCTTAACAGAGCTCGCCTTTTAGTTCACGAAAAGGTAAGTTTTGGTGGTTTGTACAGCGCTCATCACTGACTGGCCGCGGTGCCCTGTTTAGGCTGTGCGCGCGCTTATTTAAGTCTTTGTAGGTATCACTTCTCTTTACGCTTTTCTTATTTTTGTTCTACTCCCGTCTCTCTCTCTCTCTCTCTCTCTCTCTCTCTCTCTCTCTCTCTCTCTCTCTCTCTCTTCTCTCTCTCTCTCTCTCTCTCTCTCTTCTCTCTCTCTCTCTCTCTCTCTCTCTCTCTCTCTCTCTTTTATAATGCAGGAGTTCCTGTGCTCACATTCTGTTCCCTTAGTACTGATAACAACATCCATATATTATTGGTATCATACTTAGCGATCTAGCGTCTTTATCATTATCATCATCAGCCTCATTCACTATCATCATTACATATATGTTTTTTTCTTTTTGACAGAGGAAAGAATAAATGGAATGAAATAAAGATAATAAATTTAGATATTATTTGCTTCCTCCAGCACTCGTTCAACATTTTAAATTTTAGAGTCCAGAGCGATAATGATAATGATGAAAATAAAATTACGACTTTAATAAGGATCAGAATAATAATGATAAGAGTAATAATGGCGACTTCTATGATGAGAATTATGATGATGTGTAAAATAATGACGACTTTAATAATGATGAGAATGATCAAAATGATTACAACGACGGTATTCATATAATAGTGAGATTAAAGACCTACATTAAAGAGTACCATCAGTCGAACCACGATAAAAAAAAAAAAAAAAAAACAAAGCCCCCCAAAAAAAAAGAAAAAAAAAAAAAAAAAATCGATTTCCTTTCCGTCCAATCAACAGGCAACGTTATACATCGCCACTTTGAATTCAAGTTTCAAAATAAATCACCATGGAAGGTTATTCAAAACACCTGCGCGGCCGACAGACACCTGCAGCTTCATAATTTTGGGTCATCTGTCATGCCTTTAGATTCAACTCCAGCTTTTACTGCGCATGTGCGAGGGGGAAGTCGATGTTTCTTAATTCTTCGTTCATATCCCTAAATGATTGGGTGATGTTGCCTTATTAAGGTGATTTTGTTGTGATTGATGTAAGATTCGTGATAATTAGATGGTCTTCAGTGATTGGTTGATATTCATTCACGATTTTTCTTAATGATTAGTTGATCATGCGAGTGGTTAGGAGAGGTATATCAGTAATTAGTCGATAATTTGCAATAATTTGTTGATATTTCGTCATCACCAGGAATTAAGTGAATTCAGAATCGTAATTTTGGTTACGAAGATTAAATCATGGTTCAAATCTCACAGCTGTAAAGAAAAGGAAAAAAGGAAGAAAGAAAAGCGGGAAAGATGAATTCAGAATACAGAAAAGGAAAGAAATTTATAGAAAACGGGGAAAGACGAGAACAAAACAAAGAAAAAGTAGGAAGAAGAAAAACAGAAAAGAAAAAAAAAAAGAAAAAAGAAAAAAGCGAAAGATGACGATCAGTAAACGAAGAAAAAAGAAAGAAAACGAAAACGAAAACCAACACGGAAGTAAAACAGAAAACGAGAAAACATAATAAGACAAAGCAAAACACATAAAAAACGAAGAAAGAAAATCGAAGAACGAGAGAACACCCTCTCCCCTTACACCCTTCTCCCCATTTCCACCCCCTCCCCCTCCCGCCCCCCCTCCCCAACTGGTCCCCGGGTCAAACGGCGCAGGGCCGCCACAGGTGTATCCCTTAATGACTGCCACAGGTGTTGGTCAACTGA